TTTTTTGGAAAGATTTAAATTTGGAAAATTTGGCAAGTTATGCTAAGTATGAGTTTTGGTTCAACTTCAAATGACCATAACACTTAGTACATGATGAATTAGGTGTACCATAAATTATCAAATGAAAGATCATTGAATTATCTTTCCAACGCCACCAAATTTGTTAATTTTTGAGCTCGTATGAGAGAGATATGTCAGTTTGAAGTTGGGCTGTCCAGTTAAGGAAAGTTACCCGGATTTAAGAGGGGTATTTTAGTCTTTTCATTACCCTATTAAGTTATTTATTTTTTAGTAATTTATTTGGGGTCTAAACTGATTTGGTTCAGTTTACGCATTCCAAATTAACGCTAGGGCTTTGAGAGAAGAGAAAAGAGGAGAAAAGCCAAGGTTTTGTCGCGTTCTTGAGATTTCGCCAAGGGTTAGTCCCTTATGAGGTATGTGAGTTCACATAGCGTTGGGTTCATTCACACACGCACCAATAATGTTAATTTCAGCGTAATTTTCTTCCTAAAAAGTTCAAGGTTTGACATTCTTGATTAGTGTTCTTGAATTTGGATGGGATTGATGAGTTTATTGAGATAATCTTATCGATTTTAAGAGTTGTTTTGAGTTAGATTCTTGGGTACATGTATTGGGTAATTGAATCCAAAGAGAAATTGAGAAAAAAAATCAAATTTAGTCAAATTGAGTTCAGAAAATGAGTTGAAAAATTTGCTGGGGTTGCCTGGGGGAGGTCTAGCGCGGCGTGCCCCAGATGCTCCAGAAGGGCTAGGGCGGCGCACCAGCAGTGCACCAAAATAGAGCCTCTGAACTTTAGTGGCTGGCTCCCCGCGCCAGCAGTGCGCCAAGGTCGCCTGTCCCCACCCGTTTTCCATCGTTTAGCCCGTCTAAATCCTTCTAAAGTGTACTAACACTTCCTATGGATTCTAACTACTCTAAATGACTTCTAAACATCTAAATTTCATTTGTAAATATGAATCATAACCTTGAATTCATAGATTCAAATTCAAGGACAGTTAAGAGTCAAGTCTAGAGAGTTCTTAGAGTCATTTCAAAAGTCTTTTTACAAATGTTTTTAAACTTGTTTTAAGACTTGAGCATTGAGTTGAGTAAGAGTAAGACCGAAGTTCATTTTCTTTAAAAGATTATATGGGAACTAATTATTCTCAAAGAGTAAATGTTTTCACATTTAAACAAGAGAGGGAACACCGATTTTCAAGAGAGCTTTTGGAGCTAGTTTTTGAGTAATAATCTCAAACCATAGAGAAAGAGTTATGTTTTTAAACATATGAGCTGAGTATATTTTGGGAGTAGTCTTGAGTATTGATATGGGGACGAGTTCATAATAATTCAAGTCTCCATAAATCATGTAGCCAATGTGGGTAGAAAGGATCATACTTTCTAGATGATTCCTTAATGCTTTTAAGCATAGCTTAGTGGATCTACTTTGTTTAGGCTTTCTATATCCCGACAAGTTATAGGACAGTTCTGGCAGCGTGGGCGAGACGATGTATCATCACATAGCTCATAGTGATGGTTGTCGGTTAGAGAATCTCCCAAACATAGTTTATTTTTGTATTCTTATATAAAACTGAGATATTATGGTATTTTCCAATACTTTGAGATATTATCTACTGTTTAAATGCTTTATATAAACTGCATCTTTATTTTTGTTTAATTATGCATTGAGTTGAGTATCCATGAGTCGAGTAAAGTTGAGGTAAGTGTTCCTTTCAGATTTTCAGTTCAAACTTATGTCATGTTTAACTTTCCCCTTGCATACTCGTACATTCAATATACTGACTCCATTTGTCATGCATCATTTTATGATGCAGATACAGGTAATCAGGATTAGCATTCGGCACTTCGTTGATCCATTTGAGCATTCAGAGTCAGTTGGTGAGCCTCTTTGCTTTCCGGTGGATCCCTTTTATATTGTTTTAGTATTTCAGTTGTTAGGATGATCAGGGGTCTTGTCGTGACATCCTTCATAGTTTTAGAGGCTTCATAGACGGGTAGTTGTAATTCATTAGTATTTCAATTTTCAGTTGTTTATGTTAAGACTTGGGTTGCCACTTTGGCTAGTTGAATGTTCGTTTTTAAAACATTCTAAGTTATTTTGAGACGGATGAGTAAAGGTTCATTTGATTTCTTTTATTAATGCTTAAAGTCTTCCACTAAGAGTCTGGCCAGGCCAAGGGTTTGCTTGGGGCCAGCAATAGTTCTCGAGTGCCGGCCACGCCCGGGGTATGGGCTCGGCGTGACACTTCTTCAATCTGCATACCTTATTTCTGTAAGTGTGCTCCTGCATTATTCCTGGTTGGAGATCCATGTGAACCTCTTCCTCCAAGTTACCATTTAAGAATGCATTTTTTACATTAAATTGTCGCAATGACCAATTTCTATTTGCCGCAGCTGATATAAGGATATGAATAATATTAAGTTTAGCCACTGGTGCAAATGTTTCCTGATAGTCCACTCCATATTTTTGTTTGTATCCTTTTTCTACCTGCCTCGCCTTATACCTATCAATACTTCCATCTGCTTTAAGCTTTACAATATACACCCATTTACACCTGACAATCCTCTTTCCTTTGGTTAAGAGAACCAATTTCCAAGTTCAATTTCTCTGTGAGGCCTCCATTTCTTCATTCATCGCTTTCCTCCATTGTGATTCTGCTAATAATTCCTTCACACCACTAGGAATAGACACTTTGGATAATTGATTAACAGTTAGAGCATATGAGGTTGATAATATTTTGGTAGAGGTATAATTGCTAATATGATATTTTGAATTGGCATTAAGATTTGATTCATATTGTATTCTCAGTATACCTTTAGTTTTTCTGATTGAATAACGGGAAGTAGGAGGATGAGAATCATTAGACATAGTTTCAAGTTCATTTGAAGAGTAATTAAGAGTTTCTTGAGGTATATGATCAAGTAGAACATTCTAAGAGGACTCGTTGGTTAATAAAGTGATTGTTGTACTTTCTGAAATAATTCCTTCATTGTCTTCATTTGCGACTCCCTTACTTTTATTGCCTTCTTCCCCGATTCCTTCATTGTCTTCATGTGTGGCAATGTCTATAGCTTGTTCCGAGATATTCCTATGTGCATTTAATCTTTCCTTGTAAGCTTCTAATTCCAAGAACTCAGTTACTCCCCCTAAATTAAAGCTCTAGTCATCCTAGACTCTTCTATGTCATTCTCCCCCTAAGAGATGAGGGTGTCACTCCACCTTTATAATATGGTTCTGACTCACGGAAAGATGTATTAAGAGTAGCATATTGTTTCTTATTTTGTGGGTCGTAAACCGGTATCCTTTTTGAAATTCTGAATAGCCAACAAACACACACCGTCTTGCACACGGATCCAATTATGTTATTGGTAGAAATCAATTTAATTATATTTTTATTAATATATTTTTAAATTCTAACAAACTTAATAACTTAATAATTTTTCTATTTTATCCTTTGTAAATAATTGATATAGGAGACTTTTTATGATTTTGCTAAGAACTAACGGAATTATGGTGCAAATCATTAAAAATGATAGGATTAGGTGTAAATCATAAAAGAACACATACATTAGGGGTGCAAATCTCAAATACTCCTATATTTAATAAGTCCGTGTCTATAATCCTAGCAGTGGGATAGCCGAATCTGCACCATATTCCTAGGAAAGTTAATATGGTTGCGAATATACTGGGAGACTATAGACAAAAGTTTCTAAGATATGATCTTGAAATTTAACAAATCTTATGTTTTTGAAGATCTCCCTCTATTTTTTTACTACTACTCTCAATAAAGATGCTTGTGAAATTGTTTATCATACATCAGTTCTTATTTGTATGTCTTCGAACAAACCTTATTAAATTAATAAAGCATCCCATTTGCAAGCAGTTTTTTTTTTTTTTGTCAATTTAATCCTAGATCACATGCTTTTTGCTTCATTTCACTCCAAAATACCTACTGCATATAAAAATACCCCCTTAAGCTCAAAACATTATGATTCAGGCAAGGAACATCAATAAAGTATTAAAATGCAAGGTCAATAACATTTAAATACAATTATTTTTAACTAAATACGGTCCCCAACTCCTATAAATTTTGGGTCTTAGACAGCCATATATTGAGAACATGGCCCCAAACGCCTTTTAATACTTTATTGATCGATGAAATCTACAATAAAGTAGACATTTCAAAAAATTATTTAAACATAGTCCGAAACGTATCATATTATTTAAATGCATTTTGAAATACCTAAGGTTCCATCAATCATTGCTGGGGCTTTTAAATTAATTTTATTTATACTTTTTAATTTATTTTTTTTAAAAAGTTTCTTTTTATATTTAGCAATTATTTAAAGAAATGAAAATTTCCATTTTGCTTTCCCAGCTGTGATAGATATTTAAATTTATATAAAAGTGAACAAGTAGATATACACATGTCCTATTTGGCGTGTTACGTGGCTAGTAGTGGATCCATGGTTATCATTAAGAGGTGTCAATGGTTGTAGTAAAAAATATAATTATGAGGCTATAGGGATAGAACACACGACCTCAAGAAATTTTGACAACAACTTAACTACTATACTAAACTTTTAATTAGTGTCAAGAGGTGTCAATATATACTTGTATAAATATTTATTAAACCAAAATTTGACCTCTATTTACAATGTAATTTTCCGACAAAGGGGTGTCGCTTGACACCCCTTACCCAAGGGTGGGTCCGACCCTATTAACGTGGCAATTTATGTCCTCCACGACATCCTACGTATATTATGTCACATAAAACATGTGTGTTTACTTGCTCAATTTTATTAAAAATATAAAAGACATATTTACATCTAATGCCTTGGACATATTTCAATCATGCTAGTGGGGTGTGTGGCCAATTTTAAAAGGCGAAGGTAATGGCCAATAGGTAAATGACAATAACTTGTCCTTGTTTTCTAACCACTTTGATACAACCTATAACCACTACATAGAGAGAGAGAGGGGGGAAAAGAAAGAAGAGATGAATAGAGGGGATATGGAAGAAGTGATGAAGGAGAAAGGAAAGGTATGTGTAACGGGAGGAAGTGGTTATCTTGGATCATGGATGGTTATGAGACTTCTTCAACTTGGTTATTATGTTAACACAACTATTAGATCTCATCCAGGTAATTTGTTACTCCTATAATCCTACTTGAAATTTTTCGTGTCGATTGACATGATGATTTTGATCCTTTTAATTATTGGCGCTTAAGTTTGCATTTCTTTACTTGTTTTCTATGTATGCAATTTTTAAATTCTTTAATGGAATAACTTCTAGACGTTCTGCCATTTCTATTTTGTGATGGCATGATGTCAAGGCGGAACTTATTAGTAAGTTCTTAAAGTTGATATTAACTTTTATCTGGATACACCTTAAGTAGGTTTTGATTATTTTAAACACTTTGAATAGAGTTCTAATGTGTTATTTTGACATTTTTGCTTACTTGACATATTGTGTATATTGCACTCATTTTTAGTGCGCGGGGAATATTTTTTGTATAATTTTATTTCCCCCCTCTTCCCCTTCTTCCTATCACTTTTATCTCTATCACCTACTCCACCTTCCATTATGAAATTTTTTTGATGAAAAATCTTATAAAATATGAAATGAACAAAATAAAAAATAAAAACCATCACACTAATTTTGGAAAACTTTATAAAAACATGAAAAATTGATAGAAGAACAAATGGGGACTTCAAAAGAGGCAGTGCCGTGAAGAAAGGGAAAGATGGGGTGGGGTGTGAGGTAAGTTGGAGAGGGGTGAAAGACAAATACTCTATTCGTTTATCAATAATTGTTCATTATAGGCTTTAAGGATGTCTAATAATATTTGTCCATTTTATGAAATTAATTGATAATTTTACACTTAGTTCTTAATTTACCTTATTATTAATTATACTCATTTCCTTGTTATTTTTTTTCAAGATTGTATTTATTACACCAATATTCATTCTTTTCTTCTTTCTTTTTTTTTTTGGTTGGGGCGATGGCCTCATGGATTTTCTCATTTGTGTGATCATTTGGTTTCATTATGATTAATTGTAATTTCTTAAAAATATTTTGAAATCATTAGTATTTTTCACTTGCAGTATACTTTGAGTGTAATTTTTAAATAGGTAAATTATTGTAGGATTAGGAAAATAGTAGAATTTTTTTGAAAGGTTGAAAGGTGTATAACACTGTCTTAAATAATATTTTATTAATAAAAGTTTATCTTTATAAATCAACAAGCTTATCTAATATAAAGTCAGAGCAAAAGCAACAAAAAATAAATGATAAGAAAACCAACCCAATAAAATATTAGGAGAAATGTTTTTTGTTGGTATGTCTCCACCATCTAATGAAAGAACTTGACAATATATAAAGAGATAATGCATAAGCACCCTTAAATTATTATTAAAATTTTAGCAATATATCTAAATTTAAACGTGACAGAGAAAGTGTGCACACTCTCTTAAAGGTAAGTGAAGCTAACGCAAAAATTGGACACATTTTTTTTTTTAATTGGTCTATTTACATTTAGTTAGTACATATAGTTATTGACATTAAAATTTATAATATTTGATTATATTTATTTCTTTCTTTGTAAAAGACTATTTTAATTTCTTTCTCATTTTAAACTTCTTAATTTTTTATCTTTCATTAATTTCTTATCATTTCACTTTTAATTATTTTAAAAAGATTATGTGTATTAAAAAGTGTCCTTTAATTTTTAATGTTTTAATTTTTTATGTTTTATTTGATTTTCTTCACTTATTTTGTTATCTGTTCGAAATAACTTATTTTAAATACACGACATTTGAAATTAAGTAAGAAAAAAGGAATAAATAAAATCAATAGAAAAAAAAATGAATGAAGGAAAAAAGTTTAAATACAAGGATTTTTTTTTAAAAATAATTTGTGTATTGATTTAATTTAAATACAAGATAAAGAAAATAAGAAGATTATTTTTCAAAAAAAATACACATGTGACTGGAGCGTGTTGTACAAATACAACCAACTTACATGGTTGAAGGTGCCATGTCAATATTAAAAGTGCACAAAAATATAGAAAAAATGAGCTCAAAGAGTTATAGGCATGTCACGACCCAGACCGTCGTGATTGGCACCCACACTAACTCTTCGATGAGAGAACCATTACTACAATCCAAACCAAGCAACTAATCTAAAACTAAGGCATTTAAGTTACGGAAGCAAGTTAAATACTAAGGAAAGAAATAGGGAGTTCCCATAAACTCCAACAAAAGTCTAACAATGAACTAAACAATGCGGAAAAAATAACCTAGAACCTGAAGGTCAATGTACCAAAACATCTAAAGTTCAACAAGTCTAAACAAGAAGGGATGCAACCCCCCAACTAATGTACTAATAACTAAAAGAAATGTCTAAGTCCGGAATATGGACGTAGACGGAAAGAGAACTCATGGCAGCTCGGAAGAATTGTCTCACCCTTGAATTCGAACGACAATCACTGATCTTCTAAGCGAGGTCTGTCAGTAGCCGCTTGAAGATATCTTGTACTCAACAAAAATAAGAGCAAGTGCAGTATCAGTACACAACCAAAGCATACTGGTAGGATCACACGGCTATCCCACTAAGTGTAACATAAGCAAGTCAATACAACATTATAAACATGCAAAATACCGAACATATACAATATCAATTATCACATGCTCAACAATATACACAATTATAACAAGTCATTGGTCCTCTCATGGAACCCAAACCCAAACATTTAGCATACCAGAACGTGGTACCCGATCTAATGTTTATGCCGAAACGTGGCAACCGATCCCATAATTATACCGAAACGTGGCAACCGATCCCAATTAGTTATGCCGGAACGTGGCAACCGATCCATTCAACACACCACAATCACAATCACAATCATAAGTATCTTCTCAAGTTCACATAACAAGTCATGATTCATGGTATTCATCATTCATCTATCTCATTTACAACAAGTGTGATCAATCATGCAACATTCTCATACATGCAAGTATCATAACGAAGCAAGAACAAACGTACATTATATAATCATAGAATCACAACCATCATCTACCTCGAAACAAGCTTGAAACCCTAAGAAACTTGATCCTTCCCTTTCCGGATTCGTTCCGCTTGTTCTTGGTCTACAAACAATCAATATAATACGGGAATCAATAAACAATCACTAATTACCCAAATTACTAACAATCCTATGAACCCTAGATCAAATCCATGGTCCTAATTATTCAAATTAGGGTTGTTCCCACCATAAAATCTAGATCAAAACCCTCCCCCATCGATATTTACCTATTCTATTATGTTCTACGGATGGAAAAACAGATTCGGGGAGTGAAAAGCTTACCTTTAGCCTCAAGAATGGTGGAAAACTGTTTAGAGTCGCCTGAGGTTCGTTCCTTAGCTCTAAAAATCAAAAAGTGCAGAATGAGGTCGTTTAGGGTTTATTTACGACCTTAAGTCGCGTCGAACCCGCCACAGCGGCCCCGTTAGAGCGACAAAAAGCACCGCCAAAGCGGCTTTCACGAAACAGTAAGCTATTTAAAGAATTCCAAAATCCTCATTTCACAACACACCTCTAACCCACGACACTCAAAAAATATTGTTCATGCTAAGATCGATTTCAGGAGTTCTACTCGCCCGAATTCAATTTTGTAATGTCGTATGGGTTCTTTAAAGAGTTGTCTAACTACTCATATAATCAAAATCATAAATAATTCACCTGATTGCTACCAGATTTTCCTACACCTTAATGACTCCGATTTTGTCCAAATCTGGACTAGGTTGGGAAAATCCAAATACTACGAAAAAGTTTTTCGGCTCCAAATTTTCCTCCGCTGGCATTTCTATAATGACGGGAGCGGATCGTTACAAGACCCTGATTAAGATAGGATGTCGCGAAAATTTCGGTCATATAGGAAGTAATTACGCATTATCCCATATAAAAATAAAAGACTCATTAATATAACAAATTGTGACAATATGCAATTGTCAGCCGATTAATGGCTCTAAGCCTCCAACAATACTATACACATTAACTATAAGGAGTCAAAATGTCTGTTACAAATCCAAAAGGTTATGTTAGGAATTGTATAAGAATAATGATCAATCAAGGTCTATACACCAAAGACTCATCAATATAATAAATCTAGACAAAAAAAAATTTGAGCTATCAAAATTATGGGATAAGATATGAGTATCTCCTAGACTATAACGATTATTCTAGAGACATACATTAACTAAACTAAGATCTTATTACCTTTGAACTCATTTGTTTTTGTAATTTTGTACACCTTTTGTCTTACATGGGACACTCCGTGACTCCACGTAGTTGAGACACGTAGAAGATGTTTGTATACCACCTAAGTCAAAAAGGTGTACAAAATTACAAAAAAGAATGAGTTCCAGGGTAATAAGACCTTAGTTTAGTTAAGTGTGTCTCTAAAATTTCGGTCATAGTTTAGCGGGCTACTTGTGTCTTATCCCATTATTTTTCCAACAATACCTTCACATAAATTGAAACAAAGTACGATTAATTTATGTCTTTGTTGTTCAATTAAAATTATATTATTTTTAACCTAACTTTCATTGATTGTAGATCGCAAGAAGGATGTTAGCTATCTCACAAATCTCCCAGGTGCACAAGAAAGGTTGAATATTTTTAATGCTGATCTACACAAACCACAAAGTTTCAATGCAGCAATTGAAGGTTGCATTGGTGTATTTCATGTTGCACATCCAATTGATTTTGAAAACAAAGAACCTGAAGAAACAATAACACAAAGAACAATTAATGGGGCAATAGGTATTTTACAGGAATGTCTCTCTTCAAAAACAGTTAAACGTGTTGTATACACTTCTAGTGCATCTACGGTTGTGGGTACTGGAAGTTCCAACGTCATAATCAATGAATGCTCATGGACAGATGTAGATATTATGAGAACATTGAAGCCTTTTGCAAGTTCTTACATAATTAGTAAGACATTGACAGAAAAAGCAGCTCTAGAATTTGCTGAAAAAAATGGTATCGATCTTGTGACTGTAATCCCAACTTGGATACATGGTACCTTTATTACTCCCCAAATTCCTGGCTCTGTTCATTCATCCATGGAAATGATTCTTGGTACGTCTTAAAATATCATAGATTTTCATTTTCTCAACATATATACGTTCGACTAAATCGTAGCTGAAAAAATTTGTGCAGGTCATCAAAATTTTAGTATGAGTTACCCTCCAATTGTACCTTTTGTACATGTAGATGATGTGACAAATGCTCACATTTTCCTTTTTGAAAATCCTAATGCAAAAGGGAGGTATATTTGCTCAGCTGTTGAAATAACAAGGGAAAAGCTAGCTGAGTTTCTTTTGACAAGATATCCTGAATTTCAAAAACAAATTACTGAGTAAGTACAAAATCTTGCCTTAACTTTAATTGGTTGATTGTTTTTATTTGTTTTTCCTTCTCAAACAAGGAGAGGAAAGTAGATAAGTGAAATATTAAGCAATTACTCTCTCTGTCACAATATTTATGTGACACATTTCTTTTATTTGAGAGTCAAATAGTTTAACATATGAACCATGATAGCTATTCCAAAATACAAGTTTCTTAATTTTGAGTAGCCTAATAGAAGATGAGATATTGCTTTTATAAGCTATGCAATGAATATTTCAGTTTCTTATAATAGTTTTGGCATTTGGGAAATCATGTTCTCTCTCGGTGTATTATTGTGACACTTGCTAATATGAATTTGGTCTGCACCATGTCTTTAATTTACAATGGAACCCAAGATCATCGGTCCAGATGACTATGCCATGTTGGTAGGTTATCTACCTATACAAACTCTTTGGGCTCTGTTAGGATAAAGGATTTTGGTGATATCAGGACCGACCCAACTACGAGATACCTCTAATTTTCAGAGGCGAACACGTAATCTTAGAAAACCTTGACGGAGTGTGGGAACAAAGCTTGGGATAAACTTTGACGACCACAGTTGCGGAAATTAATAGCCGTGAAAGTTGACAGCCACAAATGTGAAATTGGCAGCCACATTTGTGAAAGTTGGTAGTCAAATTTTGGTGGAGTTTGGCAGCCAAACTTTGTGGAAATTGGCTGCCACATTTGTGTCACTCATGATGTAATCAAAAGGTTCAATACTCTATAAGTAGAGTAGTAATTGAACATTTAAAGATACACCAAAATAGAGAAAGCAATAGAGAGTAGCGAGAATAATCCATAAGCTATTTCTTAGTTTGTGAGAAAATCGTGTGAAAGTAATATTATTGTGAGTTGTAAAAAATAAAAGAGTGTTTTTCTTATAAAAGTGTAGTAGTCTTTTGACACGTTGTTGCTCTCTTGCTATTGCTATTTAGTGTGGACATTATCCTGAGTGTGATTATCATTTTATCCAACAATGTGGTATCAGATCAATGTCAAATAATAGATTGTTGTCCTTTCAGTACCCCGTCTCACAAGAGAAAATTATGAAAAATGTGTCTACGAATGAAAGACATTCTTGACTCTCAAGATGTTTGAGATATTGTAGACAAATGGTATACAAAATCCATTAATAAGAAATCGTTGTCCTCGAATGAAAATGAGGTCTTGTAAAAGACAAGAAAGAAAGATCAATAGACCCTCACTCTCATCCATTAATGTTTGGATGATGACATATTTGAGAAGGTGGCTGATGCAACCACCTCAAAAGAAGTTTGAGATATTTTATAAAATTCTCTTCAAGGAGTTAATAAAGTAAAGAAGATAAAACATCAAACTCTAAGGCATGACTTTGTAGTTTTAAAAAAGAAAGAATTTGAATCTATTTTGAATTTCTATTCAAGATTGATGGTTGTGAATCAACTAAGAAGATACGTCGAGGAAGTAGATGATGTACGTGTGGTAGAAAAGATCCTTCGTTCTCTAACACCTAAATTTGATTATGTGGTGTGAGCTATTGAGGAGTATAAAGATTTAGACTCTATGAATGTATAACATTTGGAAGGTTCTCTACAAGCCCACAAAGAAAAGATGAAATGGAGAAAATAAGTGGCACTAGAGAAACTTTTTAAAACTCAAGCGTCCTTCAAAGGATTTGAAAGTGAGAAAAGTTACAAAGGAAATGGAAAATGGCGAGGCTGTGGCAGTCGTGGAGGCTGTGGAAGAGGAAGAAGTTACTTCAACAAATTTAACAATGAAGATAAAAATCACCAGTCATTCGGAGGTCGTGGCCATGGTCAACAGGGAGGTAGAGGACATGAAGGCTATCAAGGTACCAATGAAATGAGGTATGAAAAATCTAAAATTAAGTGTTATAACTGTCATAAAATTGGACATTACTCTTGAGAATGTCGTATTAATGTTGAAGAGAAAGTTAATCTTGTTGACAACAACAAAGACGAAGATGAGTCAACATTGTTATTGACACTCAAAGAAGAAGATAAAGATGATTACGGTTCATGGTATCTTGACAATGGAGCTAGCAGTCATATGTGTGGACACAAAGACAAATTTGCGGAGATAAAGATGATAGTAAGGAACATTTATGATAGACAAATTTGCGGAGATAAAGCTCTCAATAGATGTTCCTTACTATCATCTAAGAATAAAATTGTTTCAATTGTAATAATGACAGAAACACAGGAGTTTCAGAAATGTGTGGATGATCTCCAAGTGACTCCTATAAAAGCGAAGGAATGAAATTACACTTTTTGCAACAAATGAGTTCAAAATTATCCGAGTTTCTCTTAAAAATAGATTGGTCATTTGGAAATCTGTTGTGGCTTCAAACATATCTACAGGTTAAGGCTAAAACTTTTAAACCCTTTAAGCTATATTCAATAGTCATGACCCACCCTGCTTTACTACCTATATTGTATGAACAGAGAAGGTTAAAGGCACTAATGTTTCAATTATGAAAATAAACTCAAAAAATTAAAGTATACTCTTAAAGGTATGAACTTCAATATAGCTTCATATGCTCAGAAGCTGCAGATTGCTAGACAAAACTAAATGTCATTCAGACCTAAATAACAACCCTTCCACAAGAACAGACCTTGAAAACTGAAGAGAGGCGAATAAAGCTAGGCATCAACAAATGAAGCACGATCTAGATTGGATGATTTACCCAATTATCCATTTTAACCCTAACCTGACCCACTAAACCAGATGAATTCATACCAAATTAAAACCCCAAATCTATCTCTTTCTTTGATACAACATTCACTGAAATTTTCCTATCAAAATAACAATAATAAGATAAATAATTCTTCAATTGAAGCTAATAAATTCCATATAAAAATAATACTTCATTTATTTACCTAATCAAACAATAATACTACTTACTTAGATCACGAAAATTTAGAATTGATTTTACTAAGTTAGGACGACAATTTACGATGAATGAAGCGGTTGTTCAGAGGCGTTTTTGGTTGCTATTGTTCGCCTGAGCTTCGAGCTCAAGGTTGTTTAGTTCTTGGTGACTGATTCAATGGCGTGAGGGAGGAGAAAAAGGACTGACGGCTGCTGGTTGTTTTTTTCTCCGGCGTGGAGCTTTGCCGGAGATGGTAAAAGGAAAAGAAGAATAGTGGTGTTGGGTTCTTATTCGGCGGCTCTTTCTGGTTGGATTTGGTGATCTGGGCTTCATTTTGTGGTGGTTTACGGTGACTGGTTTGGTGTTGTATGGTGGTGAAAGAGGTCGGAAAAAAGAGGGGTTTGATGATTTCCGGCGTGGAGGAGGAAATGGAGAAAAAGGGGAGGCTACAGAAATGAAGATGAACAAAATGGGCTATATTATTAAGTGGATCGAGTCGGGTTAAAATTGGGTAATTTAAGTAAAATTGAGTAATTCTAAGTCAATTTGGACTTTCCATCCAATTGAGGAGCACAAATGATGAAATTAGTGACAACAGAGGTAAAAATAACTTTATTTTAATGATAAGGGCATATATAGTCGACCAATAAAATAAAGTTGAGAGGTATTTTGACCTTTTATATATATATATATATATATATATATATATAAATGAAAGTTGTAAACATTTACAATGGAGGGAAATAATTAATGCGTTGTTATTTATTTGCAGGTACACATGGACAAGTACAAAAGACCTTAAAGGGTCTAGCATTTCATCAAAAAGACTTTTGGAGACTGGATTCAAGTACAAGTATGGCCTTGAGGAAATGTTTGATGGAGCAATTGAATGTTGCAAACAAAGAGACATACTCTAATCCCTTTACATCAAGTAAACCTAAGAAGCTTCATTTTATATGAAGTGGATAAGTGTGACGATCCATTTGCTCATCTTGCATAGAGTCCCAAGTCCTGCCTCCATTAAGAACATTTCTTGGCTAAAGCGTAAAACTGAAGAAATAAAGTTCATATTTCTGTCTTTTAATTATATGTATGTATATATGTTGGAATTCTACCCTTATGAATTCTATAAAGGAACACATAATGACTAATCGTTCTTATTTATTTGAAGCTTAACAATAAATAATTTTGTATAACAACTTGCTCAGCACTGTGTATTATTTATAAAACTTCAAATAATACAACGATTACAAAGCTATGTAACCTAAGGAATTATAAAGTCTAATTCCTAACTACCCAAGACAAAAACCCCAGGTTTAAGTCTTCTATCGTTCTTCAAGTTATTCAACTTGTCAAACGAAACCTACTCACAAACACTTGATTGTATTCAAAAACTCTTGATTACAATCATACAATATTTCTCTCAACTCGCAGCACTTCCTAAAATAGAAATCAAAAACTCTCTCAAACTCTTGATCGTGTTTTGATATTTCTTTCAATGTCAGTGCACAAATCTTTCTGATGAAAATAATCCCCTATTTATAGATCAGAACTCTAGCAAGTCCTCGTTCGACTCAACTTTGTCTTTGCCTCTACAAAGCCTTGTTGAACTCAACTTGGACTCCTATTTTGTACTCAACTTCTTTCATATAAAACTTACGCATAGTAGTTATCCTACTTTTCGTAGTTTTCCTTAATTGATTAGGAAAAATATCCTTAACCGTGAACTCCGTCTTCTATACGTTTTTGACAAAGCACTTCTGTATCACATATGCACGACCTGTTCTATTCACTTTGCCATTCTTCAAAACTTAGAGACTTTAACAAATTCCCCCTTTTTGACTATGGCAAATTCTTTCTACTTGCATCGAACAGGTAAACACACATATGCACGCTTTCTTCCTCCTTTTGACATCAGGCAAAATAACTGAAAATAAAGAGATATCCATGCCACAAGCAATAATGTCACAACAAGCTATAACAAACAAAAACACACCAAACTGAGTCATTAGTTACATCACAGATCAGAAACAAAAACCATTATCCACAAAAACAGAAATGTCTACTAAGGACTTGAAAAAGTGAGGACCCAAAACACAAGACATAGCACAACCAAGCGGATATTTAGATAGATGGTGGTAAAGTAGAGGACGAGAAAGGGAATTCTTTGGTTAGTAGTTCATATAGATGCTTCAGACGATTGGAATTAGATAATCTCTCAGTATTCAACGCAGCCTGAGTCTAAGCAAGCTCCTCTATAAACCTTGAATTTTCTTCAGCCAATCTAGCATGCTTCAATCCATAATCAATGTGCAACTTATCTATTGCAGCAGAGTGAGAACCCTGTAGTGCAGTAATTTCCTCATTCTTAGCAGTCAACGAGGCTCTCAACCATTGCATAGGGGCATTAGCCCCTCTCTTTGTAGCAGATATAGTTTCATGATTCACAACCCCTAATACATCATTAATGGTCTGAATCTGCCACTCTCTAACAGGAACACAAAAATGTTCAAACACCATACCAAGCCAGAACCCATACGCCAGTCCACATTCTTTTTTATCAAACACACATAGACCATGTATATGACTGAGAATCAGGGCAGGTAAGTTAATTTGGATCTTAGATAGCAACAACTCCATAAGAGTGAGATCCAAATAATTTGCCTTCGCCCTTTTTTGCTTTCGAGGTAGTACTATTTTATGCACAACATCAAACAACAAACGATGCAATAGCTCCTTTATCAACTTTGGTATACTCATTCAGTGTAGGATCATTTGAGAATCAGCGACATATTTCAAGAGCAGAGATGTTACCCTCTGGAGGTGGCCAATTCGCTTAACGTAGTGACCCCATCAATTATTTGGTACCCCGAGTATAGAGGATAAAATCTCAGCATTGAGGGTGAACGAAACACCACAAACAGTACTTGAAATTGACGTAGCAGACCCTATTGCATTAAGGTAGAACTCCCTGGTTTCCTCTCTACCCATTTTACGCCTAAGGGTTCCTTGACTAAGTAGTTCAGTCCATCCTTGGGCTTGCACAAGAGCCAGTAATTCACTCATCTCATCACCCCCAAATCCAGTAATTACCCTACCCCTAATCACACTTCTTCTCCTAAGGGATAGTGCCCTAGCAGAGTCAATTTCACCAATTTCTTTGGGACCAGATTCTTCTGGTTTAGATGTATTTCTTTTTCATTTTCTACTCTTCTTGGGTTCAATAATGTCATCATCATCAATCTCTATAGGATTAGAAGGGAGAACAAACTTACGTTGCACCTGGCGAGTTTTCTTAGTCGACTTAGCAAGAAACATTGCATCCCGAGTACGCTGCACAGATCGAGTCACTCGAATCGGAGCCTTCATTGATGGGTTAGAAGTAAGACTGTCATGAGCATCTGGAAGAATCATAGCAATGGGTCGACAAGAGATTATACTCAGTCGTGAACGAAGTCTTTTAGAAACTAGCTGGACCAACAAAATATCATCGTCATCATCACAAGAAGAATGAGCTTGTTCCTTTGAGGATATTTGTTCCCCCTCACTACGTGCTATCGTTTTATCTTCTAAATCAGACCTCAAACTCTGGTTTCTTCTTTCCCCCTGAATTGATGCTTCTTCCATAAGAGGATATGCCAGATGGGTTATTTTGCAAGGGTCAATGAACATGACAACAGGTAATTCAAAGAGGTTTTCTGGATTTTCAAAGGGGATAAGGGCAAGGTTTAAATTTGAGGGAGACGCCATGATTTTGAAAATTGGGTTTGATGAATTTGGGAGAGAGACAAAAGAAGGAGAATGGGTTTCTGTGGAGAGTGAAAAAAATAAAAAGGGTTTTTGATTTTTGAGAATGATTACCGGGAAGTGGAAGGGTTTTTGGAGAAGAGGAACAAGTTGATTTTATGGAGAAGTCAACTTTATTCTGATTTTGGCGGTTTAAAAAAAAATCCTTCTGACAGGTATTTAATGCGGGAATGGGTACCAGTGTACAAGTCTTAATATTTTGGTCTCACTTAAATAAGTATAGTAGACATACCTTTTACTGTAGGATGATGATTTTTGAAGTCCAAATCCTTGAGTTCCTGATTACCTGAGAATGGTGAATTCGTTAGTTACAGTTCGTTATGAGTATTAAAACTTTTAGCATAATACTACATAATCAAGTGCCATAGTTTACTCTCGTGAGTAAAGATACTCAGGTGATCTTTATCATTCCTAATTCCAACATGTTCCTTTCAAAATGTTCCCTTACTAATGCCTTTGTGAAAATGTCTGCAATTTGTTGTTCAGTGGCACAAAAATTCATGGAAATTTTCCCTTTTTCTACATTGTCCCTTAAAAAATGATGACAAATATCCATGTGTTTAGTTCTCTTATGTTGGACAGGATTCCTTGCAATGTTAATTGCGCTTCTGTTATCACAAAAAATCGGGACACACTTAATACTAAGACCAAAATCACTGAGTTGTTGTTTGATCCATAGTAGTTGAGCACAACACAAGGCTGCTGCTACATATTCCGCTTCCGCGGTGGATAGTGCGACTAAGTTTTGTTTCTTTGATCCCCATGAAATTAAACATGAACCTAGAAAGTGAGCCATGCCTATGGTACTTTTTCTGTCTGCTAGATAACCAGCATAATCTGCGTCGGTATACCCTACTAATTCGAAGTTCCTTCCCTTTGGATACCATAGTCCTAAATCAGTGGTTCCTTTTAAATATCTGAGAATTCTTTTAACAGCTTGGAGATGGGATTCTTTAGGACTAGTTTGAAATCGAGCACAAAATCCCACACTGAACACAATATCAGGCTTGCTGGCAGTAAGATACAAGAGTGACCCAATCATTCCTCTATACAGTTTTTGTTCCACAGCAGAACCAGTTCCTTCCAAGTCTAATTTTGTAGCTGTAGCTATTGGGGTATCAATTTGTTTAGCATCTTCCATGTTGAACCTTTTGAGTAGATCCTTGACATACTTTTGCTGATGAATGAAGGTACCTGATTGTGTTTGCTTTATTTGAATCCCTAGGAAGTAGTTTAATTCGCCAATCATGCTCATCTCAAACTCGTTGCTCATAAGGGTGGAAAAATCATTTGTGATATTTTTGTTTGTGGCTCCAAAAATGATATCGTCAACATACACATGTACTATCAGTAGGTCCTTTCCTTTGTTTCTGAGAAAAAGTGTGTTGTCAATTTTTCCTCTTGAATAGCCATGGCTTAGGAGAAACTTCGACAATCTATCATACCATGCCCTTGGAGCTTGCTTTAGCCCATAAAGAGCCTTATCAAGTTTATAGACATAGTCAGGATAGTCATTGTTCTCAAATCCAGGAGGTTGTTTGATAAATACTTCTTCCTTTAGTAACCCATTAAGAAATGCACTTTTAACATCCATTTGATACAGGGTGAACTCCATGTGAGATGCAAATGCAATGAGTAATCTAATTGCCTTTAACCTGGACACAGGTGCGAATGTTTCATCATAGTCTATCCATTCTTCTTGATTATACCCTTGGACTACTAGCCTAGCTTTGTTTCTTGTTATAGTGCCATGTTCATCTAACTTGTTTCGAAACACCCACTTTGTACCAATTATGGTTCTATTTAATGGTTTAGGCACCAGATGCCAGACTTTACTCCTTTCAAACTGATTTAGTTCTTCTTCCATGGCCATAATCCAGTCTGCATCTTGGAGAGCTACACTGATCTTCTTTGGTTCCATCATGGATAAGAATGCATTAAAGGCACAATGATTTTTTATCCCTAATCTGGTGGTTATTCCAGAACTAAGATCAGTAAGTAAATTGTCCAATGGATGTGATCCTTGGTATTTATAATCTTTTAGAACCAAATTTGGTTGTTCTGTATCTTGACCATTGTTCAAATCTATTTGGTTTTCATCAGGAACCTTTTAAGAGGCATCATCTTTCTCATGAGTTTAAACACTGTGTTCATTTACTGTTTCTGTGTAACCTGTTTCTTGTA